CAGTTTATTGAAAACGGAAGGCTCAATTTAAGAGCTGCCATGGGTCAAAGTGGTCCGACAAAAAATTCACGACTGCAGGTGACATTTCAGTTTTGGAAATCAGGTAGAACCATTTCGTAACAGAAAAAGTTCCTAAATGATGGCCTGAAAGACCACAAGGGAAAGACCAATGCTTTGTGGAAATCAGAGACCATCAGGACTCAAAGCCACATTTATCTGGAGCAGAACAGAGTAGGACCATGTAAGGAGATGGAAGTAATGGCAACCTAATAATCAAGGTGCTAGGTTCCCGTGAGTTATTTGGGATGCAAATTAAGACAACTGTACCATTTCCACGTACTTCAAACCCGAAGTAAAAATAAAAATTAAAAACAAAAAATAGAAAACTATAATTTCCACTAATGTACAGACTTCTCAAGTTTCCCAGATGTTTTCCAGTTTTTGCTTCTGAAGACCTAGCAGGTCATTTCTTTCCACCCAAAGCCTTGAATACTTACTACACGCAAACACGTCCCAAATTTAGTCTTACCTGAATATATAACAGCATCTCAAATTTAATACATGGCCTATTCAGAAAAGGTTTCCCACCCTGGCTGGTTTGGCTCAGCGGTTAGAGCCTCCACCTGTGGTCCAGAGAGACCCGGGTTCGGTTCCCGCTAAGGGCACGTACCTCGGCTGCAGTTTGTCCCTGGCCCCAGCTGGGGTTTTGCAGGAAGTGGCCACTCGATGTGTCCCTTTCACATCGATGTTTCCCCACCCCCCAACCCCTTTCCACTCTATCTGAACAAAAATGGAAAATTGTCCTTGGGCGAGGATTAAAAAAAAAGAAAGATTTCCCTCCAAACCTGTTCCACCCAAGTCAACTCCATCTCAAGTAGCTAGTATCATCCCACCATCCCCACCTCTCAAATAAATAAAACCTATGAGCCACACCTCAGGCCCACTCCTATCTCCAATCAATCACAAAGCCCCATTGGTTCTCTGCCAAATATATCTGGAATTTGTCCACTTCTCACTATGTCCACTGCTACCATTATAACGCCAAGCCATCATCATCATTGCTTACCTGCTCACTGTTCTCCCTGTTTCTGCCCACCCTGGCCCTTCCAAGTCATTCTCCACCAAGGAGCCAGAATGATCTTTTTCAAAAATGAGATCTCACCCCCTGCTCAAACTCCTCCGATGGTCTTCAGTCACAGTTACCAACAAGTGAAAGTATAAAGATCACAGAACTCAGAGTTCTAGCTCTGGCTGTTACTAACTATATATTTTAGCAAAATGAAGTAACCTCACCCTTCCTTAGCATTATTTGCAAAATGAAAGGGCTGTATGTTTAGCTTTAAGTTCTAATACTCTAAGTCCAGTAAACATGAGATATGCCTATCTCAGCTTATGCCATTTCTCCCTTTCAATAAAATGCTTATTTCATACATCCTGTATCTAAGCACTCCCTCCCTTCCAGGTTCATGCTCATGAACAGGCACACAGAGATGCCATGGTTTTTCTCTCACTTTCCTTTGTTACCTTTAGGCAGAAAATGAAAATATAAAGGGATCTCAACCTTCCACTTGAGTAGGTCCATCTCCGAGGCGCACCTCTACAGTTGGAAGTTCTCCGAATGAGACCAGTGAGCACTGGCTGTGCCCTCAGATGGGTCACTTGAAGCTGTTCTACATCTTCCAGTTGATACCAATCTAAAACTGACACACCCAGAGGAAACCAAGTGCAGATTTTTGAAGGCCAGGCCTCTATGTAGTCTGAAGACTGACCTTTTGGTCGTTTTCTCCTCTAGGATTTTAAGAAAAATTAAGTTTTAAAAATAAGAATGACTCATCCCTGCCCTGGCTAGTGTGGCTCAGTTAGTTGGACACTGTTTTGTGCACTGAAAATTGCTGGTTCAATATCCTGGTCAGGGCACCTGCCCGGGTTGCAGGCTCAATCCTTGGTAGGGGGCTTGCAGGAGGCAGCCAATCGATGTTTCATTTTCACATCGATGTTTGTCTCTCTAAAAATCAATAAAAAAAAACAAAGAATGACTTATCCCAGAAAAGTACATAATTTCTTAAGGAAAACCAACTAAAATATACAAAACAAGTATTTTCTATGAAGTGAAAGGACAGAAAAGAGTGGAAACAACCCACATTATGTGGCTTGAGTATGAAGGAACACCAAAGAGACTAGATAGACGGTCCCATTTCCATTCATTTTGAAAACACCGTTTCAAGGAAGCAGGGGGGAAGGGAGAGCAGTGGAGCAAACCACAAAACCCTCACATCCAGAAAACGGGGAAAGAAAAGCCTTCGGACAAATTAAACAAATAAAGAAAAACCACTTAAACTAAGACAGCTCCTTCCTCCCAGCTCTACTGACAGCCAACTTCCTCTTCTGCCTCTCATTCTGCGTCCTTTGGGTCCCAATGTCACAAATAACCCGAGATATTGTTAATATTCTGGCTCTATATTCAGAGTTCACCTGCTTTGCATTGAACTCCCCACTTTTTGTCCCCCATCTCTGTGCTTTCTTTTGGAATCCCCAGAATATTAAATTTGATATTTGAAAGTCAATCTACAGTTTCTGCAAAACAAAAATATTCCCATTTAACTAGGTGTGTGAAAAGGTAATTAATGCTAACTGTGTGAAATGTGAGATCTTAGTTAAAAGAGCTGAATCAAATCCAAAACCTAGCCAGAGTGTACCAATATCCCTTCATCACAGATTTTGTTCCCTTTCATTCCAAGCTCTTGGCTCCTAATTCTCCTCACAAAGGACATCCCAAGCCCTCCATCTGCCTGAGCCCCTCGTTTCAAATCCCCGCCCAAACCAGCACTACCCAGAGGCTCCAAGGGGCTGGCACTGTAGCTACCACTGACAGGAGAACCCTGAGCAGAAGCCACAGAGAGCCATAGAATTAAAATGAATGCTGACTGCAAATACAGGCCAAAGACGAAAAGTCTGTATCTACTCAACTGCTGACAGCAGGTGCATTTGTGCCAAGAAAACACCATTCTCCAATCACCAAACTTAGAGAGGATTTTGTTCATTTCAAACGTCCCCTCAGAAAAATATGCAAAGGCCATCTAACATAGTCCTATGCCTGAAATTATATATGAAATAAGACCTTGGAATAATCTCAACTCAGCTTATCTTTTTTTTTTTTTTTTTTTTTTTTTACCAAGAAAGCAAAAAGTAAAGTAGGATCCTCTTTCCTGAAAGGCTCCTGGGAAGGATACTGGCTGATTCATTTCCATGGGTTCCCAGTCTTAAGGCTGACACCTGAAACCTGCTCAAGCACCTAGTGGCAGGTGGTTCGCCCTCGGCTGCCCTCTAACTGCTTCATGTGCGTAGACTGTCCTCTCTCCTGGCAGAGACCAGTGTTTCTTTGGCGTCCTACCCTGCACTTCAGCATATGGTTGGGCATTTGGTGGATAATGCAAATATTTGCTATTTTGTCTTAAAATTGTTTTAAAGCCATTTTTAGTTACTTTGGTTTTTTTTTAAGAGAGTAATGTCAAATTATCCCCTTATCTTTTTTTTTTTAAAAGACTAGAAAATAGAACAGATCCTATTTGAAAAATAAAGCAAAGCAAATCCCATTAAGTTCTTTACTATCTTAATTATAAGGCAAGCTCACTGGCCCTCCTTCAGAGGAGGGAGGGTCTCTCTTTATTCTTCCCCGCCTTCATTCTTCTCCCTTCCCCTAAATCCACCACAGCATAAAATGTTCAATGGCTCATTCTGGCGAAACTTCATAAAATGGAGTTAAAGGCAGAGTTCTGCCAACCTGGTCATTTCTATCATTTCCTTTATTCACCCCTTTCTCATTTTTCCTCAGTCACCAAACAAGTCATATTCTGAAGATGTTAGGAAACACTCTAGCACTCAGACCCCGACCTCTTCTAAACCAAGGAACAGATTTTTCTCTTACAGATAAGGGTTATCTTTCCAGCTAAGGATCCTGGAATCTGGTGGCTTTTTTAACCTTAAGGAATTTTACCCTCTGGCACTATATAGGACTGCTATCCAGGGGCATACAAGTTTTTGAGCAATGGATATGCACATTAGCATGTTTATACAATAGATGTAACAAGACCACCCACTTTAACTTAACAGATAAGCTTTAAAAATTCACTTCAAACATTTTACTTAAACTATTGATCTGAATTTTGGAGTCACTGGCACCGATTTAGAATTTCAGTGATAGGCTGTGGGCTCTGACTCACCTCATTCAAACACAATGCTGTCATTTATCCAAGGGGCAGAAAAAGGTTTTTCTTTGTTGAAAAAGATAGAGTATGTTGGTTTCTTGAAAAAGCCACAGTTGAGAAACATTCTGCATTGCATTTGTGATCACTCTCAAATGTCACCACCCCCACTCTTCTCTCTCATGTGGTAAATAAAACACATTAGAACATATCTTTAGTTGCAAAGTTTCCTACAATTACTCAAAAAAATTTTTTTTAAATTGATACTTTGCCTTCGATACACTGACCTAGTTTTGACTTTTTTAATGGTTTGGCCCTCAAGAAAAACTAGCTGGGGCTGAGGAACCAAAATATTTATTTTCTTTACAATGTTAAAAAAGCCAGTGTTCCCTGAAACAAATAAACAAAAAAACAAAACAAAAGCAAGACAGCTCAAATCATTCTTTGAAATGTTCTCATGATAGAAATGTCATCTACCTTATTAGGTTGCAGGTTATACAGGTGTACACACTTTTCAAAGCACAGCGAACCACACTTTCAATCTCTATATGTTACCATATGTAAATTATGGCTCAATAAAAAGATTCTGCCCCCCAAAAAATCTCTTTGCAAACCACACTGCAATATCTGCCATCAGTATTCCATCTCAGATCTAAATTTTTTTGCAGTTCAAGAAGATCCTAAGGCCAAAAAGGCACTTCCCCTCCCCCCCAAAGCTACTGACAGCCCAACTCTCCAGAACTTCCATCTGCGCCCTTCTTCACACTGGAAGTGGCCCACATACGAAACCCCACTCACCTCAACTGACTGAGAAGGCATTTTCAGCTTGGTGAGCTTGGCTTTGGCAGGCACTTTTAAGTCGGTTTTTTCAAAGGTCTGCTGCCGGTAATCCTCTGGCAGTGGTTTCAGTTCGGGAGACTCGCTAGGAGCCTGATCTTGACCGTCCATGGGCCGGACATAAGCTGTGGGCTTCTGCTGCATTGCAATGCTCTTTGAGGGGAGGGAGGGTGGGGGGAAAGACTGAGAAGGTGGCTGGGGAGGGGCTACCCCCAGGCTGGAGATGGCCACTAAACTATCCTGAGGGGCTTCTTTGTCTCGGACTTTCACCGCCAGGTTCTTGGGAGATTTAGCGGGGCAGTAGCCTTTATTGTTATTGCTACTGCTGTGAGCCTTGCTGCTCCCTTGTGTCCTGGGCAGAGTTTGCTGGTTGGAATGTACAGGTGACAGAGGGGGCACTGGGGAAGGTAGAGAGGAGAGTAAGGGAGAAAGCACTCTCTCTGGAGCTGAGTCTATGGTCAAAGCACAGTGGTCTCCATCAGCTCGGCGGTCACCATGTTTGTGATGACTAGAGCTGTACCCCTCCTGACCGAGGCGATCTTGGGTCAGGTGCTGGCTGTCCGGGGCGCCATAGCTTTTGATATGGAGACTTGGCACTGGTTCCATTCTGGGATGTGCCATCTTCGGATTGTGGCTGATGTTACCGACGGGGAGTGGTCCAGGGGCAGGAGTGCTACTAGGCTGCTGGTGGACACTAGCGCTGAAGGAGTGGGATGGAACGCTGCCCCCCTTCTCAGAAAACGGAGGGTATCTCGGCTTTCCCGGTCGGTTTTCAGGCGCCTCCGAGTGATGAGGATGGGACTTGGTACTAAGTAACTCCTTTACTTCTTCATAGTTTCCCAACATATTCTGTATTCGACTGGATAGCTCATCACCTTTTTCTGTCTAAAAAAAGAAAAATGAAACAGCAAAGTTAGATGCTGAAAAAACAACAACAATCTAAGAAAACCCAACATTTAATAAACTATGTTACAGAACAACACCATTAAAAAAGAAACACCTCGATTTACTGTGTAACATAGAATTTAACATGCAATTTAAAATAACTCCCTGTTGAGAAACTTGTCCTGGACAAATATTACTACATACTGAAGACTAACATCACAAAAGAAAACCACAAACTTGGGAACTTTTGACTAACAAGGTTCAGAGAATTTTCATTTTTTGTTTTTAGAAATAACCTCTAGCCCAGCCAATGTGGCTCAGTGGTTGAGTGTCGACCCATGCACCAAGAGGTCGCCAATCATTGTTCTCTCTCATCGATGTTTCTATCTCTTTCTCCCTCTCCCTTCCTCTCTCTCTAAAATCAATAAAGAAAAAAAAAATCTCTAGGGTAAGTTGTCTTATTTTCACAGCTGTGGCCCTTGCTAAAAATCACTTTCATCGTGGAGTTAAATGCTATGATGAATCAGACTTACTTTTTTAAAAATCCTCACCCAAGGGCATTCTTTCCATTTTTTGTTCAGATAGAGTGGGAGGGAGAGAGAGGAACAGAGAGAGAGAAACATCGATGTGAAAGGGACACATCGAGTGGTTGCCACCCGCATGACCCAACCAGGGCCGGGGACAAACTGCAACCAAGATACGTGCCCTTAGCAGGTCTCTCTGGACCGCAGGCCAACACTCTAACGGCTCAGCCAAACAAGCCAGGGCTGAGTCAGACTTTCGAGCATACAATAAATACCTTGTAGGGCTCTCCAAAAAGGGGGATCTTTTCAGGAAATGTCTCCTTCTCTTGGTGGGCTTCCTGGTTGCGTCTTTCCTTCTCTCTAATTCGAAGCAGGTTTCTGTCTTCATTGTACAAGCTGTTTCAGGTGCCACAAAAGAACAAAGACAAAAGAATTTATCATTATCCACGTTTTGCTGTGCATATGTGCATGTTTAAGGGAGGAAAGGGCAAGTCAGGAAAAAGGGATGACCGGGAGACGATGTAAAGAAAGCATATATCTCTCAACTCACTCCTGAGTTAAGGCTCAGTCAACGGGCTGACCGTCCAGCCTCAGTGCCGGCTCCAGAAACCTAAGCGTTCACTCTGGGCAACCGCCTTTGTGGCTCAGGACTGACTCCAGACCGAACAGTCTTTTATAGGCAGTGGTGGAATTGAGACAAGATTAATGATATTTTTACTTTCAGCTTGCAAAATATGGAGTAGAGGTGGAAGCTTTTCATCTGAAAATATCAGCAGGATGTGAACTTTAAAAAAGCTGTTTTCCTGGATCAGTATAGTACATTTTGGAAGATCAAAATCAAAAGGCTTGTTTCATAATTAAAAGATTACCAGGCACCCAAAACAGCATTTACTTTATTCTCAGCCTATTCTACTGGGAGTGTCCTGGCATGTAAACTCGAGAAGATCATTTTTATTTTTCATTTCAAATGCCAAGGATGGGAAAATGCAATTTTAGATATAAGCTGACAAGTCTCTTATAATCTGATTGACCAACTTAAACCACATAAAAATGGACCCTAAATCATGAGCTCTGTCACCAAAAAGGTGAAAACGCATTTACTAACAAGCAAAACAGACATAGACACCAGAAACTGTAGTTTTAGCCAGCATCTAACCCAAAGTGGGCCTGCCACATGTCAGCAACACAAGCTACTCCCCACCAATCCGCACAAGTGAGATATAAGATACTAAGAACAACTTTGTCTTTGTAGACTTACTTCAAGGTATGTACTGAATCTTTTCCCCCAACATCATTTGAGTAAATGAGTAGGAAAATATTTAATTATTTTGTTGAGACTACAGGTACCTTTAGAAATTCTAGCTGTGATGTCAGACACCTTCCCTGACCCCATATCCTGGCTTCTCTGCTCTCTTGTGACTTCTCTTATTTCCTCCGACAAGAGTGTCCTTGCTGGTCTTCCTGCCTCCATTGTATCTTATACCCCTAATGTAGCCTTCTCATGGAAAGAAATCCTACCTACGGCCCTGGTTCTCATGTCACTATCCATATTTTACAATAATAAGTGTTTGATAGCTCTTTACTGCTGCAGAATAAACTATTATTTTACATTCTTTTTATTTATTTATTGGGCGGGGGGGCAGGAAGAGAAAGAGAGAAACATCCATTTGTTGTTCCATTTATTTATGCATTCATTAGTTGATTTTTTTTTTTTTTATCCTCACCCGAGGACATTTTTCCATTTTTTGTTCAGGTAGAGTGGGAGGGAGAGAGAGGAACAGAGAGAGAGAGGAACATCGACGTGAAAGGAATACATCGAGTAGCTGCCACCTGCATGAGCAACCAGGGCCAGGGATAAACTGCAACCAAGGTACGTGCCCTTAGCGGGAACCGAACCCGGGTCTCTCTGGACTGCAGGCCGACGCTCTAACTGCTGAGCCAAACCAGTCAGGGCTAGTTGATTCTTATATGTGCCCTGATCAGGGATCAACCCCGAAACTTTGGTGTTATCAGGACGATGCCTTTAACCGAGATACCCGGCCAGGGCAGAATAAACTCTAAATTCTTACTTTGGTATTAAAATTCCCCCATTACCTGGAATAGATCTACTCTAGAAATTATCCCACTGTCTCCATGCAGGCCTGCCACAGGCATTCCACTTGACAATATTCCCCAAACATACCCTGTAAAGGTCAGCCTTTTACTCTAACCTCTATCCCAGAATCCCCTTTTACTGAAAGAGCACCCATTTTCCCAGGACCAGCTTAGCTAGGAAGCATGATTCTCCTGTACACCACCTCTATATTCCAGTGACACAGGCCTATACCCTACTCCTCTGTGATACCCTGAACTCTGATGCTTCCCTTTTAATTTCTTCTGCCTCTCTCTCAACTACATACCCACATTCCCAATTTTCAGCTACCAGCAAACCTTTGTAGTGATTCCAGTGTCACCCACTATAAAGGCGTCCTCAAATCCACTGAGTATGGGCTGACTTAACGTCTTGAGGGGTTCTCTCTCCTTCTCCTCTTTCCCCTAGAATGTGAACTCCATTTATAACAGAATTCATGTTTCTCTCTCTCCTGGTACTAAAGCATGGTATTTTACATAGATGGTAATCATTAAATACTTTTCAATTTAAAAACAGCCACTATGCCCTGGCCGGTTTGGCTCAGCGGTTAGAGCGTCAGCAAACGGACCAAAGAGTCCCGGGTTCAATTTCAGCCAAGGGCATGTACCTCAGTTGTAGTTCGTCCCTGGCCGTGGATGGGGTCATGCGGGTGGTAGCCAATCAATGTCTCTCTCACATCGATGTTTCTCTCTCTCTCTCGCTCTCTCCTTCCTCTCTCCCTGCTGCTCTATCTGAAAATAAATGTAAAAATATCCTCAAGTGAGAATGAAATAAATAAATAAATAAATAAATAAATAAATAAATAAAAATAAAAACAGCCACTGTATATTTTTAAAAACTTATAATTTTTTAAAATTCACTCTGGAAGACCATCTAAAGGTGGGGAGAAGCTAAGCTACCCAGTTGAATTCACTGTGGTATGGTAAATAATTATCTGGTTAGACAATTGTATTAACTTTTCTTCGCCCAGCGGTATGGCTCAGTGAATTGAGAGGTCCAGGTTCCATGGACTGAGAGGTCCAGTTTTGACTTCTAGTCAGGGCACATGCACGGGTTGCAGGCTCAATCCCCAGCAGGGGGTGTGCAGAAGGCAACCGGTCAATGTATCTCATATCAATGTTTCTGCCTCTCTAAAAAACATCAGTAAAAACATATTAAAAAAAATTAAAAACTTTGCCTGGCTCTGGCTGATGTGGCTTAGTTGTTTGGAGCATCATCCCACACACCAAGGGATGGTGGATTCGATTCCTGATCAGGATGCATATGGAAAGCAACCAATCGATGTTTCTCTCTCTCTCAAATCAATTTTTAAAAAATGTGGTTGGATGGCGGCTGCTGCTTCATAGTGACTTCCACTAATTATCACATTTGAAGAATTCTCAGTGTTTTATTTTTATTTATTTATTTATTTATTTATTTTTCTTTACTGATTTTCAAGAGAGAGGAAGGGAGAAGGAGAAAGATAGAAACATCGATGAGAGAGAACATTGATTGGCTGCCTTCTGCGTGCTCCCCACTGGGGATTTGGCCCACAACCTGAAAAAACTAAACCAGAAATTAGTCTTTAATAGTCAGAAATCTCACATGTCTCAGACAGATTTACTTCTGGTTGATAACAGCACAATGGATTTGATGACCATTCAAGAATTCCTTACAATTATTTTATGACTTTGGTAATTAATCATTGATTCAAAAAAAATTATGTAACATTAACATACAACCATGGCAGCCAAGCAAGAGGGTTGATCAGCAAATAACTTATTTTCTCCTTCAAACTTGCTTTTCAGCCACTTTGTTTGTAAGGAGGGTGAGGCATGCGACTGTCTCTGCACAACCTACACTCCCAAGTTTCTCTCTTCCAAAGCTACCTGGTGCGTGGACCACAGAAGCCATCTGCTTTGCTGATTCTGAAAAGGAAAGCTCTCCCTTTCCTGACCGCTAGTGACAGCAGTGTAGTCCCTATAGCTGTATCCACTTGCAAGTGTTCACAGACTTTGGTTCCACTTCATAAAGTAGAGTTCTGCCCACTTCTGAGTAACTGCTACCTTTGTCTCAGAAAGTGGAGCCCTAAAAGGCAAAATCCTTAGTTCCAGATTGAAAACCGAGCACCTCAACTATCAGGCTGCTTGGGGTCCTCACTTAATTTTCTTGTCAACTCCACACCCATCTTTAAGAAAAGCTATACTGTCCGGCCGGTGTGGCTCAGTGGTTGAGGATCAACCCATGCACCAAGAGGTCGCCGGTTCGATTCCCGGTCAGTACATGTGGCCAGGTTGTGGGCCTGATCCCTGGTTGGGGGCATGGTGGAGGTGGCCAATCGATGTTCTGTCTCATCATTGTTTCAATCTCTCTCTCTCTCTCTCTCTCTCTCTCTCTCTCTCTCTCTTCCTTTCTCTGTAAAATCAAGAAAGGAAAAAAAAAAAAAAAAAGAAAAGCTATACTGATTTAAAATTACTAAAGTATTCCTTTTTTTTTTTTCCTGTGTTAATCCTCACTGGAGGGTATTTTTCCACTGATTTTTAGAGAGAGTGGGAGAGAGAGAGAAACACTGATGTGAAAGAGACACATTGATTAGCTGCTTCCTACACGTGGGAGCAAACCTGCCACCCAGATACGTGCCCTTGACCAGAATCAAACCCACGATCCTTTGGGCCACCGGCCTGTACTCTAACCACTGAGCCAAACCGGTCGGGGTAAAATTACTGAAGTATGTCTAAATCAATCAGCTCAGCATCAGCTAACTTTTACCACACTTCTAGATTTTCATTCTAAAATAATAAAAACTGCTACGTAAATAATGAGAAAAACCCAATTTTACAAAATTCCTTACACATAACTTTCTTGCTGTGTGATTCAAAAATCATGCCTCCCACAGGGAGGAGATCGTGTTAAATTACGAATTCTTGGTAATTAAGGTTTTACTTCATTAGTTAAAAACTGTTTTAACCCACACCAGGATTTTATTGGCAGACATGTAATACTATACCATTTTCAAGACAAACACTGAATGTTTTTTTCCTTTATTCACCACCCCCTTCAACGGAAAAACCCAAAAATAGTCAGGTGAGGAAAGACATGAGTGTCACTGGTAGGATGAGTTTTATGAGGTCTAGACTTTCAGAGAAACTCACTCTCACCCACACAGTCTGATGGGCACCTGGTTGGTCTCACTCATCAAGGCTCCTGGGCAGGGCAGAGGAGGGCAGGGCAGGAAGTGCCCAGTCCACAGATCCCAGAACTCTATGAGGTAGGCTGTGAGCACGCA